CCAGGCCTCACCCCACGCTGTGCTGCCCTTCCAGCTGGATGTGGTGATCGCGGACCTGGATGGTGGGACCGTGAACGTTCCCGAGTGTGTCCACATCTCCCTGCTCCCCGAGCCCCTGCTCCAGCAGACCCGGGAAGCCCTTTCCATGGTAAGTACTGTGGCATTCCCTCCATCCCTGAGGTGCCAAAACCCTGGGAATGACACATGTGTCCAGGGAGCTGGGAACAGAGCTGGGGCTCCTCTGAGAGCAGGGTCCACTCCTTGGGGTCCTCCTGATCCTGTCACAGGGACCATTCCCAATCCCCATCCGATGGCCTCTGATGCACAGCAGTGCCAGAGAGCCTCCTCTGCCAAAGGTTTCTGGGAATGGGAAGGCTGGCTCCCAGCCCGTGGGCAGGAAGCAGCTGTGGCCCTGCAGCCCTCCTGGCTGTTCCTGTGTTCCCCCTGTGTGCCCAGGGCACTGTGCCCTGCCAACACTGCAGGTCCAGCTCCTCAGCCCAGGGCACCAGGGGGGAAGGTCTCCCTGGCAGAGCCAGAAGGGCTCCCCCTTCCCTGGGAGCCCCACTCTGCCAGCAGTGCTTCCCAAGGAAGGGTCAGGCCATGAGGCTTCCCATGCCTCGTCCCTGGTGGTTTGTCTCCAAACCCCTCAGTGCTTCTCCAGGGGGACTGTGGGGTCTCTGGGGAACACTCCTTGGCTTTTCTGGCTGGGAAAGAAGCTGTGTGTGTTCCCTGGGCAGGTCCTGGACCCGGAGCTGGAGGTGGCTGATCTCGCCTTCCTCCCTTCCACCATTTCCGCCTCTTCCCTCAAGATGCAGGTGAGTGGAGCGGGGACCCCTCGTGGGGAGGCCATTCCTGATGGACACCCCATCTCCCAGGCACCATTCCAGGCCTGTCTCCATCTGGGTGTCACTGGCACTGCCCGGGCACCGAGGGCACTGCTCCGAGCCCTGGTTGGAGCCTGCAGTGCCCCTGGGTTCGTGGCTGGGCTGGAGGCAGACGTGGAATGTTTGGGCCCTTCAGCAAATCCTGGGGCTGTGAGAGCTCCTTCTCCTCCCTGTGCAGCATCCGGGGGCAGAGCAGTGAATCCAGGCTGCTGTGCCCCTTTTTCCCTGGAATCCCTGCCGTGTTTCCTGCCCTGACCCAATGGCTTGATCCCCTCCCCTCGGCCCTGGGGGGAAACTCCTGCCCCGGGAGCCGCCTCATCCACACCCTGTCCCACCTCTCCATGACCACTCCATGAGCAGGGGTCCTTCCCTTTCCCAGGACAAGGAGATCCGAGCCGTGTTCCTGCGCCTGTTTGCACAGCTGCTGCAGGGCTATCGCTGGTGCCTGCACATCATCCGCATCCACCCCGAGCCCGTCATCCGCTTCCACAAGGTGTGTGGGGGCCTGTGCCAGGGCCAGGGGCGGGATGAGTTGGGCTGTGACAGCTCAATCCAAAAAACAATTCCGGGTTTCCAGCCTGTGACCTCCCCGACATCCCTCCCGGGCCCACCTGCATCCCGTGTTTGTCCTTGAGCGTCCCGAGGGCTCCTGGATCGGGCAGCACTTCCCTGGTCGTGCCCCGGAGTGCTCGGATGCTCCACGGCCATGTCCCTGCTCCTGCAGCCAGGGCAGCTCCGAGGCTCAGGGAGGAGGGAGCCCAGGCCTGGAGCTGGGGTTTTATTGAGACCTTGGCACTGGGGAGAGGCCCCCCTGGAATCCCGGGGGCAGTTCTGACCCCTCAGACAGGAGAGACCTGGAGGGGCTGGAGCGTGTGCAGGGAAGGGAAGGGAGCTGGGAAGGGTCTGGAGCAG